AACATTCGCGTCCGTGTTGTATCGGATATACAAACTCTCGCCTTCGGCTCGAGTTTGTATATCCGATACAACACGGCCGCTCATGTTGTAAATAGTACATAATAATAGTTTGTACTTTTTTGTTTATGTAAATATAGATGCACGATTTCAGGAGCGATCACTTGGCAAACAGTTTGTTACTAACTACATGATAGGCTACAGTTGTTAAATATTTTTAAATATTAAATGCCTTTAATTGTGACCACTGATGAGCAACAGACTAGCTAGGATTTGGGATTTGACTGTTATTGTTTTTTTATCATCATTTGTAATGGTATGGTGGGCCCGAGTTGGAAGTTCAAGATACAACCACGTACCCAGAGCTTCTGCGCTTATTGCGCGTCCCTTCTTGATCCAAGTACCACCGCTAGTTCCCAGGCCACCCCGGTCAACAGCTTGAATCTAAACTTTCCATATTGCGGGCGAGTATGGTATTCGAATATATTGTGGCCGTACTATGGTGAACGTATATATTCAATATAAAATTATGCAAAATTGTGGCGGCTAGTTTTCGAATGGTTTTTATTTCGTTTGCAATTGGAATTATTGCAAAATATTTATATGGAAAACAGTTTAAATTAAAACAGATTTTATTATAAACATAATATCAAGCAATCATATATGAGCTTCTTGACTTAAATAAAAATTAGCTACATTTCTTCTTTATATATAGAATGACCCAAATAGTGTATACACTAGCACAAAAATTATATCTGGGGTTAGTGGCCCTAAAAAAACTCCAGTGATGTGGAATTCTTATTAGATAGGAGACTAAATTGTTAATGAGTTTTGAACTATGTAGAACATAATTAAAATACATTTTTTCATATTTCATAGCAATCATCTGTGGGCCCAAAATGCAAATGTAACAGTCTATTTAATAGAAGGATATTGAAGAAAGTTAATTGTGCTGTTGATTCGGTATGTCAATTGGTACAGTGTGTACAGATGTTGTGTTCTTCTTGATTAAAAATCTCGTGCATGGGCTTACATACGAATTAAATTTGCGTTCTCCCAGACCAAGTTCAATCGGTATTTCAATTGGTAGAGTGTCAGTGTTGCCGTTTTACCGATTAACTATGGCAGAGAACAACATTACTACAACAGTCAGCAACGAATTCACGTACAGCGGAGTGCCAATTATCCTAATTTCTATTCTCGGAGTAGCTTCCAATCTATTACTTCTTGTTGCTTTTATTAAAGATCCTTTAAAATGCTTCAGAAACTCAGGAACGTATCTTGTAATGAACCTGTCAGTTTCCGACTGTCTAATGTGTTTATTTATTCCATTTTTCACCATCAAGGGATTAACTGGCCGGCACCAGAATTTTGGATTTCTCGTAGTGTTGTTCGGGATGTCCTCTATTGTATCGATTGCTTCAATATCGATAGATCGTTTTTTAATGGTCGCTTATCCAATAAAACATCGCGTTTTGATCAGGGGTAAAATTATAGTCTTGTGGCTCGCAGCAATTTGGATAGCAAGCTGTGTACCTTCTGTGTTAAGATTGTACTTCCATGGTCGTAAGAAGAACGGACTGATAGAAAATATCAACATGTACATTATCTGTGTAATGATCATTGTATTTTCCGCAGTTATGTACGCTGCTACATATTACACGTTGAAAAAACAGTCAAGGAACATAGCTTTACAAAATTCAAATGAGAGTCGTGCACAAGAGATAAGAATATTTAAAGAAAAGCGATTTTTAAAGACAATCATGATCATAGCATGTATCGCTTTCATTTGTGTTGTGCCTTCCATGGTATTCTACCACGTCTACGATGCTCTAGGTCTCTTCAAACGCAATTTGACCTCTGAGATTTTAAGTGAAATATTTGCTTCCATTTTTTACATAAACTTTGCAGTGAACCCATTAATTTATGTTGCACGTTTGCCGAACTATCGGAAAACATTTTATTTGCTGTATTGTAAAAGAGGGTCTTGACTTTGAAATGCGGGGGTACAACTACAATTCCATGCCTAAATGCTAAATGTTGGAACAACCTTCCCAGCGATCTTAAGAGTAAAATTGTAAGTTCAAATACGTTTAGAGTTATTCTTGAGGGTACAGGGTAGTTTTGCATGTATACATTTCATATTTAGTATTCTTGTAAATACAATGATATAGTATAGTAATAGTTTGTCCTTTTCTGTTCATGTAAATATAGATGCACGATTTCAGGAGCGGTCACTTGGGAAACAGTTTGTTACTAACTGCATGATAAGCTACAGTTGTTAAATATTTTTAAATAATAATGCCTTAAATTGTGACCACTGATGAGCAACAGACTAGCTAGGATTTGGTTTGGGATTAGACTGTTGTTATTATTTTTATCATCATTTGTAATGGTGTGGTGGGCCAGAGTGTGGTTGGAAGTTCAAGATACCAGTTGCATAGATCTTTTTTTCATCCAAGTACCACCGCTAGTTACCAGGCCACCTCGGTCAACTAACCTTCCATATGGTCAACACTTGTTTCCATCTACCAAAATGACATAACGTCATTTTCGGAAGAGGTGTTAAACGGCTATGTAACTAACCCAAACCTTACTCCAACTCCAAAAATAAACAACTTTAGAAATCGATCAAATGATGTAATAATACGGAAATTGCGAAGTCACATGGGTGTTTTATTTCGTTTGCAGTTAGAATTATTGCAAAATATTTATATGCAAAACAGTTTAAATTAAAACAGATTCTATTATAAACATAATATCGAGCAACTTTGGTAAAGTCGATGAGATTGAGAATTTTTACTCTATAAATAAATATAAAACATTTCTTCATAGAATGACCAAAATAGTGTATACACTACCCAAAAACTACATCTGGGGTTAGTGGCCCTAAAAAAATTCCAGTCATGTAGAATTCGTATTAGATATGAAATATTCTAAAAGACTAAATTGTTAATGGGTTTGAGCTATAAAACATAATTAAAATACAATTTTTTATATTTCATAGCAATCACCTGCAGGAAAATGCAAATATAACAGTCTATTTTAATAGTAGGATATTGAAAGAAGTTATTAACTGTGCTGTTGATCGATATGTCCATTGGTACATGCAGCGAGTACAAATATGTTGTGTTTGTCTTGATTAAAAATCTCGTGGGCTTACACATAACTCATAAGGATTTAAATTTGCGTTCTCCCAGACCCAGTTCACTCGGTATTTCAATTGGTAGAGTGTCAGTGTTGCCAATCGAGTTTTACCGATTAAATTCCTCGACTCTGGTGTGCTTAAATAAAGATTTGAATATGTGTTCTCCCATGCAACTAACTCGATTGGTAAAGTGGCAGTGTTGCCGTTTTACTGATTAAATATGGCAGAGAGCAACATTACTACAATAGTGATCAGCAACGAATTCACGTACAGGTATCTACCAGTTACTATAATTTGTATTCTCGGAGTAGCTTCCAATCTATTATTTCTTGCTGCTTTTGTTAAAGATCCTCTCAAATGCTTCAGAAACTCAGGAACATATCTTGTAATGATCCTGTCAGTTTCTGACTGTCTAATGTGTATACTTGGCCCTTTCGTCCACACCATGATAATACCTAGGCCTGGTTGGCATCAGATTTTTGGACTTCTCATGGTCTGGTTCGGGATGTGATTAATGGGGATTAATGGTCGCTTATCCAATAAAACACCGGGTTTTGATGAAGGGTAAAGTTATAGTCCTGTTGCTTGTAACAATTTGGATAGCAACCTGTGTACCTCCGGTGTTACAACTATTCAATATATATTCCCCTCAGAAGAAGAATACAGTCAACGTCTACACCCTTGCTGTGATCAGTGTCATAACATCAGCAGTTATGTACGCTTCCACATATCGCAAATTGAAAAAACAGTCAAGGAACATAGCTTTACAAAACTCAAATGGAAGTCGTGCCCAAGAGATACGAATACTTAAAGAAAAACAATTTTTACAGACAATCATGATCATAGCATGTATCGCTTTCGTTTGTGTCGTGCCTTCCATGTTGTTTTTTCAAGTATGTGATGCTCTAGGTTTCGTGCGGGAAAAGAATTTGGCCTCTAAGATCTTAAACGAAATATTTCTTTCCATTTTTTACATAAACTTTGCAGTGAACCCATTAATTTATGTCATACGTTTACCAAGCTATCGGAAAACATTTTATTTGCTGTATTGCAGAAGAAGGTCTTGACTTTGAAACGTCGGGGTAATATATTTGAAGTCTTGTGACCACTGATGCACAACAGACCATGTAGAGTGTACATTTCAGCTTTCCATTGGCCGAGGACTATGTAGTCTACTAGGGTCCGTTCATATGAACTCCTAGCTAAACGGGAATCTTAAGGCCATGTTACACGGTGCAATTTTTCTTGGAACTTGTAATGCAATTCTACTCTTGAGAGATGTTAATTAGTGAAATCAGTGAAGAATTTTCGATATGTTGAGAAAACATCAGCAGAGTCACAGAATAAGAAGGTACAGCAGAAGCGTCACTCAAGCATTTGTCCGCGTTTTTACAAGCGATTCGTCATCAATCACGCCATCCTGGCTAGTACAACCGGCACTTTGTACCTACCAAAACCTGATAAAAACGTCCGGTTGTACTAGCCAGGATGGCGTGAACGAGTTACAATTTTCGTGGACGTAAAACAACAAGGGAACCGACTCGAGTGACGCTTCTGCTGTACCTTCTTATTCTGTGGCGGAGTGTAATGAATACTCATATTTGGCAATTTTACATCTCTCAAGAGTAGAATTGCATTGCAAGTTGCAAGAAAAATTGCACCGTGTAACATGGCCTTTAACTGAATGAGATCGATGTGAATGGATGTGAATGCTCTTTGTTAACGCATATAAAATTCAATTTGTGTTCATATGAGAAACGAGGCAGCCAGGCTGGGTGAGATCTCACCTTGCGCATTTACGCAATCACTGGGAAAAAGTAGTGAAATTCATACTGTGGGACTAGTAAGTCCATATTATTTCCATACTATATCCCTAGTAAGTCCATATTATTTCCATACTATATCCCTAGTAAGTCCATATTATTTCCATACTATATCCATAGTAAGTCCATATTATTTCCATACTATATCCATAGTAAGTCCATATTATTTCCATACTATATCCCTAGTAAGTCCATATTATTTCCATACTATATCCCTAGTAAGTCCATATTATTTCCATACTATATCCCTAGTAAGTCCATATTATTTCCATACTATATCCATAGTAAGTCCATATTATTTCCATACTATATCCCTAGTAAGTCTATATTATTTCCATACTATATCCCTAGTAAGTCCATATTATTTCCATACTATATCCATAGTAAGTCCATATTATTTCCATACTATATCCCTAGTAAGTCCATATTATTTCCATACTATATCCCTAGTAAGTCCATATTATTTCCATACTAAATCCATAGTAAGTCCATATTATTTCCATACTATATCCATAGTAAGTCCATATTATTTCCATACTAAATCCATAGTAAGTCCATATTATTTCCATACTATATCCATAGTAAGTCCATATTATTTCCATACTATATCCCTAGTAAGTCCATATTATTTCCATACTATATCCATAGTAAGTCCATATTATTTCCATACTATATCCATAGTAAGTCCATATTATTTCCATACTATATCCATAGTAAGTCCATATTATTTCCATAGTATATCCATAGTATATCCATATTATTTCCATACTATATCCATAGTAAGTCCATATTATTTCCATACTATATCCATAGTAAGTCCATATTATTTCCATACTATATCCATAGTAAGTCCATATTATTTCCATACTATATCCATAGTAAGTCCATATTATTTCCATACTATATCCCTAGTAAGTCCATATTATTTCCATACTATATCCCTAGTAAGTCCATATTATTTCCATACTAAATCCATAGTAAGTCCATATTATTTCCATACTAAATCCATAGTAAGTCCATATTATTTCCATACTATATCCATAGTAAGTCCATATTATTTCCATACTATATCCCTAGTAAGTCCATATTATTTCCATACTATATCCCTAGTAAGTCCATATTATTTCCATACTAAATCCATAGTAAGTCCATATTATTTCCATACTATATCCATAGTAAGTCCATATTATTTCCATACTAAATCCATAGTAAGTCCATATTATTTCCATACTATATCCATAGTAAGTCCATATTATTTCCATACTATATCCCTAGTAAGTCCATATTATTTCCATACTATATCCATAGTAAGTCCATATTATTTCCATACTAAATCCATAGTAAGTCCATATTATTTCCATACTATATCCCTAGTATGGAAATTGTAATTAGTAAATAAATAAAATTGGATTTCCATACTATTTCCAACGAAGATCCATGCTATTTCCATAGTAGGCTGAGTATTTTGAAAACAATTTCCAGTGGATCTCAGTTGGATAGGATAAAATTTTCCATTTAATGAAGGCCCCCATCTGAGCGGGATGGACATTTTTGGCCGATTTAACCTATTAAGGCCATTTCCACTCAAGAAAAATGTCCACGGACAGAAAATTTCCCGAAAAATTTTCAACTTCAAAATTTTTTCAACTTCAAAATTTTTTCCGATGGAAAATTTGTTGTCATCCAATCACATTTTACAAAATTTTATTTATTCGGAAAGTGGATATGGGCCTTCATACTTTTGAACAGCAATGTTGGAAAATACAAAAAAAAACATTAATAAATCTAAACTGACATTATTAAAGTTGTACTAGAAGGTGCAATTATATGCAACATGAATGTTCACATGTCGTGTGGGATGAAACAGTTGTATGAATTAATACAAAAATAATTCATCACTTCGCGATTATTAAAAGAACTTTATTATTAAAGGATTAAGTGGAAATGTATAATACATAATTTTCATATCCAACATGTCAATCATTATAGTAAATGGATTTTGATTGGTCGTTTATATGCTGGAGGTTTATATGTCTTATGAGAAAATAACTTTTGCAGCTGTTTCATTTGAGAAAAACACTCTTTCGCAACACGCCTATATACGTTAAACGTATATGAGTATTAGTCTACAAAACGTTCAACGCAAGTAGGAAATGGAAGACAATCCCACTGGCTTTCATTTGGGAAATATAAGCATACCTGCACATGCGATTTGTATTTTTGGTGTAATTTCACAAGTATTGCTTATAATTGCATTGATAAAAGACCCATTGAAATGCTTCAGAAACTCAGGGACATATCTCATCGAAAATTTAGCTGTTTCCGATTTCTTCACCTGTCTGCTCGCTCCGTTCACATGTTGTGTACCTACAAAATGGTTCTGGCATTTACATTTCACTTTGTTCGCTATCAATTGTGTGTCCATTCTTACGTTAGCTTCGATTTCCCTCGACCGATTTCTCATAGTTGTATATCCTTTAAAACATCGTGTTTTAATGACTGGGAAAGTTATAATCGTGTGGCTGGCTTGTATTTGGCTTCTCAGTTCTGTATATCCGATACAAATTTACCTTGATGATGGTATGGGCCTATTCACAGTGTATCTTGTTGCTGGAGTAGTAATTCTATTTACAGGCGCAATGTACGGATTTACATACTACAAGTTGAAAAAACAATCGAAAAATTTTGCTCTAGAAAATGTTTCCGCTCGACACCAACACGCACGGGTTATGAAAGAAAAACGATTTTTGAGGACAATTATTCTAATAGCGTGTATTACAGTTGTCTGTCTGTTACCCACATTGACATTCTACCATTACGCTATACACCAAAAATTGTTTATCGATGGTTTAGCTGCTCGGATCTTGAACGGTACTTTTACTGGAATATATTACGTCAATTTTGCTGTAAACCCACTCTTGTATGCACTGCGTTTGCCAAACTATAAAAAAACATTTTATTTGGTGTATTGTTGTAAAAGAACAGCACGTTAGAAGCCGGCTTTAGGACCTTTGAGAAAAAATACGATGACAAGATGACATGGAAGACGGTGGGGATTTTCAAACCAATGGAAAGGCTACGAAACATTCCGACCACTGAAACACGACTGTACAAAGTTGTACAAGCTAAAACGACGAGCGACTGGATGGCATGGAGAACGGTGGGATTTTAAAGAAAAAGAGAATGGAACATCTCATCTTATGTTCACATCATCTCAACCTTGCTACATTCCCTGCAATGTCTACCACACCACATCTTCTTCTG